TGAGCGCAGGGTTCTAGCCCGTAAGAAGGAGAAGAGGCGCAAGGAAGACTTACGCATGGAGGCCTTGGACGCACAAAAGATCTTGAATGGTGGTACAAAACTCAATTCCTTTCAGACGCGCGAGCTCTATCAGCCTTGGACTCGCCAGTCAAAAATTTCTAGCGATGCCACCGAGGACGCTTTTCGAGGCATTAGGCTTATCCAGTTCCACACCTTCGAGTGGTCAGTAAAATCAGTTGCCTCGCGTGCGCGTGCGATGCGTCTTATGGCCTGCATGGTAATAACCGAACAGGCGGTCATCAATGCATACAGGCCAGAGCTGCTAGGGGATCTCACAGGAGGCGCCGCTGCAATCCGATTTGCTCTAGAGGAAAATACTACCCCATATCGCGTTGCCTTTCGTGGTGGAAAGAGGCAGATGACGCTTACCGATGACAAGGTCTTGAGCCCACGTCTTGTTAATTTCACATGGCCAGATGGGCTTGAAATCGACAGACATGCACTTACCAAAATTACGCATATCTTTGATCTGGGATTTGAGTTAGCTGCACACAAGCGTGACATCATGTGCCTGGGGCAGTCCCATCAGTTACAGGCCATCATTAACGCTGTGCAAAAAAGTACCATAGCCTGGGAGGATACCACAGGAGCCGTCAGTGTACAAGAGCGTCCACCGCTTAGGCCTGAGGTGCAATACGCGCTTGAAAATCTGGTGAAGGTGAGTTAGAGCAATAACGCAATATCTTAGTACTTACTGTGGCTAGTCCTTGGATGCCAATGCATATGTACAGCGTCAGTCTTCCAAGTCAAAGAAGCAGACCTTCCAAAACGAAGTTCCATCCTCTGAGTCGTTGACGGTTGCTTACTGGGGTTCTGATGACGTGGAGGAAGCCAATGAGAATAACACATTCATCACGAAGAACATGAAGTTTGTTATACCTTCATCGCAGGAAGATGACCTACGTCTTGTCGAGGAGGCAAAGGCCCGTGAGTGCAAATGGAAGCTACTAGTGGATAGCGCCGAGGGTACTGGGAAGGGCATGTTGGAGACAGGCGACTCCACAAATAGGGTAAATGGTGAGTTGATTGGTTGTTATCTGCTGCACAAGTACTTAAGTCCCGTACAAGGTGATTCCTATCAGACAAAGAACGATTATAAAGCCTGCGATAGCCATGTAATTGCAGCCAAGATAAACGGTTTAGAAGACGGCGAGAATAGAGAGAGAGGTCCTGATGAAGGGGAAGTGGAGGAATGTAATAACGGAGAAGATGAAGAGGAATGTATTCCTACTTCCCTGCGAAATCCTGCTAAACCAGACGGCCCAGCTTTTCTTGATCTTAAGGATGAAGAAGGAAAAAAATCTAATATCAATGGCCCGCAGATTTTAGAAGATCTCTGCTTGGACGCACCTCCTGATGCTTTACCCACAGAACTGCCCATCTTGTCCCTTCATGGATATGATGCTGGTGTCGATGATGATCTAGAGCCTCAAGCCACTACCTCAGGTATGTATCTTCCTGCCCTGCGTTTTAGTGCATAATGCTCATTTACAATGAGTTGTACAATATTCTGAGCTAGATCAAAGCATTTGTGTCACCTCGGAGACTAATCGCACTCCAAACATTTGCACAATGGCAGGCTCTGCTATGGTAAAGAAAACTCAAAAGCGTGGTCATAACTCCTCGACATCTTCTGATGAGTCACACTATGAAAGACCTGGTAAGCCACAGCACCAATTGAAAATTGCATCACGCCCTGCTACCACGTGGGGGAGTACTAACCTGATAAGTAGGCTCGAGCCATCATGATAAGCACAGGAGAAAGCGTAGGCAGCTGGGTGATCTAGGACGATCTGGAAGCAGCACACTTAGGCATTTTCAGGATAATGATGACCTTACAAGCCAGCTTGGCTGATGTACAGCGAGGTACCATTCATCTTCTCATCATTTTATGCACATATTTTTCTGTTTGCAACGCCGGTAACCAAACGATCTCAAAATTACTTCTGAATAGCAATAGTTAATTCTTAGACTGTTTATCTCCTGCATAACACAAAGTTTAACAAGATTTCAGACGATATACTAATGTACCCATGATACTTGAAATTGGAAGGATGAGCCTAAGGGCGACCACCAACTGGAATCTGATCGATGTTCCATAAATGGTATTTTTGAGTTCGAGATAAATAACTGACAACAGTCTGACCTTGACTGACGGACTCGCCAATGTTGCCTCCACGTATATTTTGAAATAAATAAACAATTATATAAGCACATTTGTCACATGTGTGTATAAATTAATCACCATCGTAATAATACCACGGCCCTTCGGGCATCCCAGGACCTCATTTTTACCTCTATGTCTTTCTTTGCTTGACTTTCAATACTGATTCTATCGTATTCAGAGATACTCCATTTACATTGTGTTCTCTTTTTATCATTACCATGAATTTGTGCGTTTGCTAATATATATTTCAATACTCTTATCACCTTCTTCCGAAGGGCTCAATTGTCATGTGGGAGTCCGTGGGATTACGGCATTTTTCGTCCCAGGACGAAAAATGCTGTAATGGGATGTAAAGTCGCGTGCGTCAGATGCGATAGTAAGAGACTCACTATTCTGGTAAACAATCGTTATGCAGCAGATGGAGAGGCACTTTATGAATATCGACACAATGAAGGTCACTGACCAGGATATTGTGCGGACAGACAATTAAATTTGTTAAACCAGTACATATTCTAGGTCCTGGTAAAGAGCTTGCTACCAAACAAACGAAATAATTCTAACCTAAGGTTGTGAAGGAACCCATGAAAGGATGCAGCTGATCGATCTGTTCGCATAACCGCCGCGCATGAGCCTCAGTTCCAGCTGTACTCTCTTTGTTATATGCAACTGCAGTGTGACGACGAGGTTTCTTGGACCATTGAGCACGGTGGATAAATGCGAGCTTGCTGCGATCACGAATTGCGGCAATACGTTCCATGAACCAAGTCTCCCAAGTCGGGGACCATTCTCCTTCCCATAACTGGTATATCTCAAAGAACTTCAGGGGAGGCCATAGAGAATGGTTGTCACTGGTGAGGCCTATTAGAATATTGATGTGATCTTCCGTTATTTTATCGTCGATGTCCGTGCCATTGCAATCAACATTACGGTGTATGGAAGCGTCGGTAGATGGGCCAGACAAAGCCGTCAAAAACAGGTCGTCGGGTCCATAATGCACTGCGAGCCGCCATAACAGACCACCTTTTGTAAGCATACGCCGGGCAAATGGAAGGTGCAAAAATGACTTGACCCTGTCCTCATATGTATTTAGCACATCACTTTGCATACGATTAAGGAGAGGATGTTTGACGTCAAGGTATGCGGGGCGAGGGGCTGGAACACCATAAAGAGGGCCGACGAGAAGGTGAGGGTTTACAAATACTCGCCAATCAAGTCCTCGAGAGAGACAATAGATAGCAGAGAACCATAATGGTACATCCGGATATTGTGCTCTCCAAAGACGCAGTCTTAATTCGGTCCTCTTCGAGATAGTCAACCTACCGCGAGAGATAACGCTCAAAAGGTGGTACGGGGGGTTGCAGATGAGGTGGAGAATGCGGTTTTTCAGATGAGGGCTGGCCAATGATGCGCAAAGAAAATTTGGCAAGTTGAACTGCTTCAAGCAGTTGGTGTTCTTGATTATCCACCGAGCGGTCGCTGTGTCGGCAGGTATGGGTGGTGTCCTGTCGAAAGCCGCAACCGATATCACGCTTGCGGTGAATGGCAGGGAGCTGTGTATAGACGGCACAACGGATGATACTTGCGTTGAATGACCTGCCATAGAAATGAGAGCTACAGGTGTTACCATTAATTCTATGTCTACACTGAGAATACCAGATACTCACCATGATGGTTCGTTGGAGGGTTATACTCTGAGGAGGAGCCATGACGAGGAGAAGGTGCTAAAATAATAGATATTAGTAATGTATCGGCATGGAACTTCATAAAAACTTACAGCCAAGGCTTCTTTGACGGATAGGACCCTGGTTATATGTAGACCGTTGGTATTTTACTTGAGCCCGAGCTCTAATGGGCGAGCGGCTGCGTGAATGATTGTGATGAGTAGAGTGAACTGGGGAACGTGATCGACCACCAGGAGGTGAGATGGCACCGTGCCACTGAGACGAGGAATAGTCCTTATAGGACAAAGGGCGATGAGAAGCCGGACGATGGACATCAGGATCCCTATAATGCGAGAATCTATGTCGAGGATAAAATACTCGCGTGCAATCAGGAGATTGATCTCTGTAATCGACGGCCTTGTCTTTGAATTTGTAAAAACAAGGGGCCTTGGGGGGTGACAGAATTTCGCCAGGCTCTACTTCCATGTCGAGGGACTGAGACAAAGAAACTTGCGAAATGGGGGGTATATCCATGCCGTCGCCATCATCCATAACAACGTCGTGCACTTCCTTGTCCCTCCAAGCCTTTTCGCGTTTGAGTCTCTCCCTCTCGAGTCTCTCCTTCTCGAGTCTCTCCCTCTCGAGTTTCTCCCTCTCGAGTCTCTCCTTCTCGAGTCTCTCCTTCTCGAGTCTCTCCCTCTCGAGTTTCTCCGTCTCGAGCTTCTCCTTCTCGAGCTTCTCCTTCTCAAGTCTCTCCTTCTCGAGCTTCTCCTTCTCCCCCTCGAGGTTCTCACTCTCCAGTTTTTCCTTCTCGAGTATCTCCTTCCCCATCCTCCCGACGATTCCCTGCTCAAACGTCTGGGCTTCTCCGCATTTGTCCCCTTTGTGTTTCAACCTTTCCTGCTCAGCTGCCCCCGAGGTGTCATTCCGTGATGCTCGACGTTTTGCTTCATTCTTGAGATAGGATGTTTTCATATCCTTGATGCGACGAGTCTCAAACTCCTGTTTTGTGTCATTTTTACGTGACGGCAATACATCCATCCTTGTAGCAGGTAGAACCACCGAAGAACCAGGTCCATTTGAATCTAGAATTTGATCTTTTGCCGTCAAAGCGAACCATCTGACTCTCTCAAATGCGGGGCTGGGAACACCCAGTGGATATCCAAATACACGGTGCTCAATCGTGTTGATTGTGAAGAGCCCACACGAACAGCAATCCTTCTGTTGACCATGTGGAAGTGTATGTCCCAAATCGGTGAACTTGCCGTTGAATCGTTTTTCGAACCACCATTGGAGCCTCGTAATGATATATTTAGGACTAAGTTTGTGTTTCTGATCAAGGGAATCGCCTGTGTTAAAGTCAGTTTGTAAATACAAAAGTAACAAACGAGGATATTCACCATATCTGAAAGTCCTGGAATGAAAGTCGATTTCAAATGCAATAAAGTGTGATGCCAGACGAAGATGCACAGGAGCGCAAAGATATCTATACTTCTTTGCAGTATTCTCGAATTCCAGTAGTTTGCTATGTGGTTTCTCGTGGTATGAAATTGATGTGGCTGAAAGGAGGGCATCACTGAAGTCGGTAGAGGCAATAATGAAGTCGCATTGATCTTGATCTAACCGAGAAACTAGATTGGCCACCATAACGTCGATAATAGGCTCTGACAACCACATGGAGTCTGATAACAAGTGCATGAGAGAATGAGTGCGTCTACCAGAGTGCGCAGCGGGGCCACGGAGGTAGCTGTTTGCGGGAAATTTGCATAATTGGTTTTCTGCCTCGCGAAAAATATCCGCGTCCAAATTTGTATTGGCTAGACCTCGTAGCCAACGGTGTGCGCCTTCCCATTGCCTCTTTCTGGCGTGTACTTGGTGCAACTGCCACCATAGCTCGATCGTCCACAATGGCAGTAATGTATCTTTGAAGCGAGGATCGAATATCGAGCACTTTCCATCTAGAAGGGCTTGTCCGAATTTATCACGAAGCACTTTAACGTCTATCATTGGAGGCAGTTCCGTGGCAGGTGGAATCTCGCTTGTAGGCAGTCCTTTCTGAAAGGTTATAGAGCCCTCATAATTCCACCACGAAATGCCAGGGACAGAGAAGTTAGTCAAATCTTCAACCGAGATATCTTCGGGAGGAATTGACAGTGCTAATATCTTTGCAGGAACAGTTAAAACTGCCGCGCACAACTGCTGGAGGGCACATGGTGTGGACAGTATGGTGAGTGGGAATTTCTTTCCTCGATTAATCCACTGGTGGGCTGTTTCACGGTGAGCTAATGCGTTCTTGGAATGAGACTGGTCTAGGAGGATGAACTCTGGTGGCCAGCATTGGCTAGTTGGCTTGACAGACGTCATGACAACACCATCATAAACTTCCACTTCGTCGTCGTCGTCACTCGCTGAAGTGGTTCTTGAACCACACGCTGGAATAGTAGCCGGACCAGAATTAACATGTAGATCGTCCATAACTTGGAAGTGTTCGTTTTCAAAGTCAGATTCGCTGTCTTCGTAGTCGGAATAATCGTGATACAACGCAATGTCACCAGTTCTTGGGTAAAATATTTGCTTCGAACGCTGCGCGTTTTTGAGGCGATCGATTTTAGGGTATTCGCCAGTGATCTCCTTGCTGGGTTTGCCTTTGCCGTCGGTGACAAATGTGCGTTTGGAAACTTTTTGGCCTGTGAAGGGAGGCTCTTCTCCATCTGGCCAGAACTTGACAGGCTGTGCCATCACGACTAATGACAGATGTTAGACGAGAGCGAAACAACGAGTGGTTGATGTACTTAAAGGGGCCCGTTTTGGACGCGAAAACACGGGCTCTATGTCTTCCCAGAGATTGTTGCCCCAGGTCAATGCTTCTGAGGATAATGTCCCATTATCTTCAGGGGTTGGTTAGACAAAGAAATTATAGATTGAGTTAATAGACGGACCGAAAGAAGGCAGCTCAACAGGACGGGGTTGAGAAACCGGCTGAGCAGACATGACTGCGAGCCGCTTGCGAGGTGCATTACTGACCGTGTGAGGTCTGACAACTGGCCGTTTTTCACGAGGCATACAGTGGAGAAGTTATATCGAAGTCAAACGAAGCGTTCGACGTTGTAAGAATGGATGACCAGCTGGAGATTACGGACTAGATGTCCAGAGAGAAAGATCTAAAGCCAAAGTCAAAAGAAGCGTTCGACGTAGGAATAGGGAGATGATCCAAGCCTGGCCAAACAAAACCTTCGATAACAAGAGAGAAGATATTCAAGGCCAAAATCAAACAAAGGGTGTACTATACAGAGTACTGAGAATAGCTCAAAGTCAAACGAAGCGTTCGACAGTGTAAGAATGGATAACTATGTGTAGATTACAAGCTAGATGTTAAGAGTTGAAGAAGTTGATGTGCAAGTTAACCTTGAGATGAAACTCGCAAAGCTGACCAATGACCGGTCTCCTGGTAGGAGACCCACAAGTAGATACTGACAACTTCATGATTCACAATAGAAATACATACATTGTAAAATATCTAACCACGAGTCTATGTATTGTAATTTCTTAAAAATAATTCACTCAGAGTTTCCAAATTGACCTGACTTAGAATCTACACACGCTGATTCAATCTCTACATGATATTCTTGATATTGAATTATCTAAATGTGGGCGAATTTGCCAATCACGGTTACTTATGTAATTGTCAGTGTGTAGTCAGCTACTTGAAAAAGGCCGAGCTTCGCTGGCAGTAACCTCGAGGAGACATTATCGACTGTGTCGGCCGAAGTTCACTTCAACTACCATTAACGTTTCAAGTAGCCCTGACAGAAAATCTCTCGTCAAAAACTCGATGGCAAACATGCCCTTGAGATCCCTCCTTACATTTTCCATTGTTATCCTGATTGCAAACCAGCCCTCAACAGGTATACAACACGAATATCTGCCCATACGTCATTCGTGTACACCGAGCCGTCTGACCGTCAATCGCAATAAGAATCAGCGCATCATAGGATAGCGACGCATGAAACTTACTGTCATCCGCCCCGAAGATAAGACCACCACTCCCAGAAGCAGAAGCAGAACAAAAATTAGAACCAGAGGCAAAGACCCAGCTCTCCAGTGCGTCCAGTCTCCACCCCTCAGTTTCTACGAATGTCCAGCCTGGTGCGAGAACGTGAGGTTGCTGCTAGGGCTGCAGGGAGTTAGTAGCGATTTTGGATTGTGTGATAAACACTAGTCCGTTAAGAAAACACGCACCCCACTACCCACTCCACTCCAACCGTCCCTCGCCCTTGTCCATGGCGCGCGATCCGCAAGCCTCAAATTTGTCCTCCACGTCACAGCTCCCGCAAACGCCCAGGACAAAGAATAGTAGGCGGCGGGGGATAATAGACAGTACCGGCAGCAAAAAGAGGAAAGAGAGCAGGTTTAAGCGTTAGAATGAGATATGTATGAGTGGAACGACGGATGAGGTGGGGAGTAAGTGGTGAGACGATGTCGTAGCCATCGCAGCTAAGACGGCGGATTAGAAAATGAGAATACAAATGCATAATTGATACTCACAACGCGCCCATGAGGTTTTGAATCGCTTAAACGTTAGCTTGCCAGTCAACACCCCCCTTTGAGGGAGGTGGCGCGATTGAAGCCGGTGGAGCCACCCCAACGAATATCTTCGTGCTGAGGCTGAAAGTCAATGGTTTGGCTTTTTCGCACGGGCGTGTTGTTGTGGAACGCACAGCCACAATTGTCAGTTGACACAACTTGACAGTGACCTTGTATTCACTTCGGTGACTTACGGTCCACTGTTTCGTAAGCCAACCTATGACATTCACTAATAGTAACAGACAGTCGCACTGGCCGAATCGGCTATACAAAAACTGACCAGACTGACTCATGGCAAGATGTTTCTCGAGACGTTTATGCTGAGCATGTTTCAAGAAGATGTTTTGGTTGGGAATTAAGCTTAATTAAGACTTGGTGTGAATATGTAAGTACCAAAAAAAGATAATGCTCTGAGAGGCAAAGTCAGTCCAAACATTCCAACTAGTTGACTTAATAACTTGACGCAATAGGAGTCGGTCCAAAACATCCTGTATGCATATTTTAAGACGCATAGAGGTACATGCATATGTGCATTTATGACTTCTTTAGAACATTTTACTTGCCTGACCTTTGACTGAATTATGTCGCGCAAGTTGTTTTGCAGACATCCATGACATCCATGACGTAGTCACTGAATTCCATGACATAATTTCTTTCCTTTCATGGTAAGGGTGTCGATCTGATCATGTAGCCCGCAAGAATGAACACGGAACCACGAGTACAGTTGAGTGTTCATGAAATTCTTCATTTGGGTGTCCTTCTTTCAAGTTCGTCGTATCATGCACCTCCTTACTCGCACTTTTGAGTTTTTTAAAACCCACCCACCACTCCCTTTTAATTTCCGCCATGAAAATACACTCCATAACCCTCCAATATGTATTAGTTGCTTGTATAAGCGAGATCATGCACAATCATTTGTTAGCTACTCGACGTTTTACGTTCAAGCTAGACAAAGCTGAACCTGTGCGATTATGTAAGTACTGAAATGTCAGGCAATGTCAGTCCGAACTACTTACTACTTAGTAGTAATTACTAGTTAGCCCAAAAGATGATGTACTTGTACAAATGCCTACACGCATAGATGCTATTGTGATGAAAAATGCCAAAATATACCTTGAGTTATATACAACAAATGACACATACGTAGGTCTCAGGTAATTAGCTGATCAAAATGTCGTCCCAGGACGATGACTTACGGCATTCTGGGAAATCGGTGATATCAGATGAGTCAACAACAAATTCATGCTCGCTTGCATTTCAGTTTCTTTGCCCAGTTCTCTTAGTTCTTTTTCTCCAAGCTTCGCCCACTGCACATTCAATTTCGCCTCCTGTTTAATAGCATAATAAAACTACTGTGGATTTGCTAATTGCGAGTGTGATGGGGTTTCGTGCGCAGTGTGTTCGTGTTCGCAACGATCTGGGAGAGTTCTGCCCTCCGATGATTCTCCTTTGGCCATTCACTTAGACTGCTTGCCAGCTTCCTCGGTTTTAGCTACTCCATTGTGATCCAGCAGTAATTCAATGGCAATTAACATGCAATACAAACAGAAAACATACAAAGCTCTACTACAACACGGTCTCCCTCTGACATTCTGCGCTGCGCCGCTGCCAGTAGCTCAGGTAGTTCTACCTCCCAGTAGGCGTCCTTGAACTTGTAGAGATGTGCGTAAAGAAAAAATGGGGAAGGCTTCGAAACAGCATTGGAAGGTGCAGGGAACATGGAGGTTCAAGGTGTACCGGGCAGTGCTGTAAGTACTTTGAAATCATACTGAAATCATGCAAGCAGCGGACGTCAGGTGGCACCGAGTGAAGACTCGGAGACAAAACTGCAATAGTGCTTACTAGTACCAATGCAACTGCCATTGCTCGAACTTTCACTGAGTTGTTCCATCTTGGACAGGTTGGACATAGTCTTCAAGTTGGGACTCGGGAGTTCTGGGCAGCTCGAAAGTTGGTGTCAGTAGGTGTACTCCAGTTTAGGTGAGTGCGAGAGATTAATGGACACACACTATAGATCATACTTATGGGGCGTTCTAGATTACTATTATAAATTTGTCAGTCCATGCAGCCGGGGAAGTTGTGATCAGTGGATTGAGTGGAAGAGCCATGTGCATGAGCGCTGAGCTACTATATGAAAGTGTACGAAATCAGTAGCAATACTTTGCACAATGTATATAGCTTACAAATTACTGCCGCATTGTGAATTGTGCACGGACCCTTCGGAACCGACAGGGACAACGCATTAAATTGGAACATTCAAGCACTAGGTCTACACCCCTGCGGCGCCCTGCCACTCTGCTTACACAGATTGCTGACAAAGCATCTTAGTGCTTGACTCCCAACAGTAAATCGAATATGAGTTCTCACCACCATCACATTGATGTCAACTTAAATGTACATGTAATTCAATCATGCCTCCACGCTTCAAATACGACTTGCAAGGCCTCGACCCGAAAGAGCAGCAAACAGAACGAAAAAGAATATGGCTCGCCCGACAGATGCAGGATCCTGAGAGTGCAGAAAGGATCAGGGCGCTGAATCGCGCCAGCAAACGAGCTCAGCGACATCGCGAAAAAATCTTTAAAACGTTTAAAGAATCGGAGTCCCCTGAACAGGCTGCAGAACCTCCTCGATTTCGCAGGAAAAGGCCGGAAACTACGTCTTCAGAAGTTCCTTCCATCCAGCACTCCACCCCAGCAGCACGCACCGCATCTATCCACAACAGCCTCATAGACCCTGTACTCAGGAGCCCCATACGACCCCGTCACATGGTAGACGCTAACGTCATGACAGATCCACCTCAATGCATTCCAGACACAACCCATCCCCTATCTCCTCCCAACCTAGACTTTATAACTGGCATCCTCGGCATCGAGGTACCGCAACAATCTGGAACGGTCACTTGGGCTGACGGGCGCAGGACTATACTTCCGTGTGTCATGAGTAACGGCATCAATATATGCGAGGACAACGATGCCGCCATGGTGCGGTTCCTCTCCGAGCTCCCTGAATCGAAACCCTCCTCAAGCAACGTCGTTCACCTCAAACGCGATGACTTAACCAGAGGACAATTACAGCAATCCGTCAGTGAGGCTCTTAGCCATAACAAACCTGTTATTATCCGAGGCGGTGGTAGCAATAGCGCCACTGCACTGGATGCAGAATACCTAGAGAAAAATTTCGGGATATCGCCCCGGATGCGTGTTACTATACACGGTCAGTCAGTCGGTTTTGTTTTCCATACAACTCAACTTTCCCAACAGATGTCGCCAAACGAGTAGAGGATTTCACTTACCCTCACAAGCAAGGGACAATACAACAATTCCTGGACGACATAAGCAACCCCTCCAAAATCCAATGCATACTTGATCTGCCTCTCTGCCATGTAGGTCTCCCCACGGAGCTCCAGTAAGTTCAACATCCCCCTCCGCGACTGTTCCTGACTGCCCACTTTATAGGCTTCTAGACCACGGCCTCGTATATGGCTGGAACCAAACCACAGTTGATTGTCCCGTTCGCAGTGGCAAGGTTCACCCAGACAACTTTACCACGAAGTCCTGGGCGTTACTTCACCATGCAGGGTTCGTGTCCCACCCACATCACGATGCCGATGGCGCCATAACGTTTGTTCGGATCGAAACGGGCATCAAGTTCTGGGTAGTATTCCGCACCAGAAACACACTCAGTCGAACAGCTCTTCAAAAGGCGCAGATGTTGTTTGCCAACTTCGCCAAAAACCAGGAGGAGATAATTTTGACTTGGGAAGCAGAGGTCATCACACTGTTGGACGGCGACATACTGTAAGTGTCCTTTGTCGTTTGTTCTGCAGTTTGGCTTAAAATTTACAGTTTTCAACCCGCCGGTCAAGTTCATGCGGTATACACTCCTAAGAAATCATTCGTCACTGGCGGAAACTTGCATAACTTCGGATCCTTACATCTTACCGAGATATCTCGCTACATTGATGCTCACAAGGCACAGTTCCTCACCAATCAGGTGCATGACAACGCTCTGGAGACATTCCAGAGGATGACGATAGCTCTTCCACGGCTCTCACCCAGCTTCAGTAAGCCACCAAATCTTCTCGCATTGTGATTTTAAAGTGCTTTGAAGAACTATATCATAGGGCACTCATCGGCCTCTGCCTGATGGTGATCAACCGCGACAAGTACAAGGCTTCGAACCACTATCAGGGATACAAAATAGTCGAATCAGAGAGCACGGAAAGAGCGGTCGCCATCGCCACAGCGATCACTTCTCACTTCTACAAGGATATAGCCATGGCGCAGCGATCCTACCGTTCTGGTGATCAAAGCGACCCGGGTGAGTTAATTTCGCAAGAGGAACTTGCGTCGTGTCTTCGACCATTCACATCCCTGACTACATGACTACACTTTTCTTGCCACCCAACTGTACAACTAATACCGCCTATGCTACTTCTATTCCAAATGTCGGAAATAATATAAGTAATGGCCATCAGCTAGACATTTGACAAAGTCTTGCATAACAGACCCACTGTACTTTTTTCGATCCCCTTTACTGTCCTATTGAGAGTTATACTCTACGTAGGACAATACCATCTAGTCTAGGGGACTTTGCCGATCCCGCCGGCCGTTTTAGGCGCGAGACCCAACGAAGATGAGATAACTTTTAACATACAAAAGCAAGCTATATAGCTATCGAGTGAATGATTAAAAACGTGTACTCGGCCGCTTTCACGGACAAGTACAGGAGTCATGGCTGGTTGCAGAGGGGAAACAATGTAGAGTGTGCCCCATGATTGGTGGATGGCGACTTCTATATCGACTGACTTAGACCAACAAAGAACATCGGTCCACTGTACTTGTGCACGAACTGTTCTGCGGTAGGCTTACAGTGACCCCCTCCACTCATCACCAAAATCCAAGCGCATTATAGTAAAAGTCCCCAGTTGACAGCAGGAATGATTTGAGGTAGAAGTTATGACAGACATAATTCTGTGTTTTGTCATGTGAGATGCTTGTGGGCAGCACCGTGTTGAAGGCACTGCAGCTGTCAATCAAAGCACCTCCATCCCATTGTCTGCCTGAATAGTGGCTGTCTGGATCATGTACTAGTCGCGGATGTGCAAGAACTCTGAGAATGCCACGAGCGAGTTCACCAACTCAATTGTTACAAGCCCTGTCAGTACATTACCTCTGGGGCTGCTAGAGTTCACTGCACGCAAGTATGGCTCTTTAATATATCCCAAATTTTTGAGAGTGAACATCTTGCCACGAACTTGATCCTAATCTCCCCTCGCACATCAGGGGTCGAGAGATGTCGCACAAAGCACATAATCTGTCTGGCATTGTCCTTACATCAGGTCAGCCTCTACTTTACACATGTTGTCATATCTGAATGAGTGTGAAGTTCGAGGGAACACGACTACCCCATGCTTCGTTTGGAAAATCCTGTGATCTAATAATCCAGCCAATAGAATCAGTTCGTGGGGTTTAACACCCACTTCTCTTTCTCCACCGAAGTGTGAATATGTCATATTTGTAGTCATCAGTCATAATTGTCGTGGAGACGTCCAGTCTAACCACGCACTGCAGATCCAGCTAGCGTTGGCAAGCACTAACACATCACTGGGTAGTAAGGACAGAGGTCGAGGTCGACCGGAACCCAATCGACATTCTATAAACGGTGATGTAAATGACTGACATCAGACTGACTCTTGCCTGACGGACTTGCTATCCACCAAATAAGTTATATGTATCGTGAGATAACCAACAACTACAAAAATGAACCACACAGTACATTTTCGGAAGTCAAACGAGGCGGAGGAAGGGATAACTACTGAAGAAGTAGAGATAAAAGCAGATTCTATGTCTAACTTCGACTGTTGCACTAAGGGTGAAGAACTATGGCGAAGGCGTCGTGAAGGTTGGGCTGTGCCTGAGCGCTAGCTCGGGCTACTCCGGCGTTGACTGAAGGGGTGTTTGGGTTGTTGCGGGGGAAGGAGGACATGAGAGAGATCCCATGCCAAAATCATACGAAGCGTTCGACATTGTAGAAATGGATGGCCAGCTAGAAGTCCAAAGGGAAATCCCAGGCCAAAGTCAAATGAATCGTTAGACATTGTAGAAATGGATGGCCAGCTAGAAGTCCAGAGGGAAATCCCAGGCCAAAGTCAAATGAATCGTTAGACATTGTAGAAATGGATGGCCAGCTAGAAGTCCAGAGGGAAATCCCAGGCCAAAGTCAAATGAATCGTTAGACATTGTAGAAATGGATGGCCAGCTAGAAGTCCAGAGGGAAATCCCAGGCCAACGTCAAATGAAGCGTTCGACGCACAGTCAGAAAAATGGAGATCCCAGGCCAGAGTCAGACGAGATTTTCGATGACGAGATATAATATATGTAAGGTTGAAGTCGAGCAAAGCGCTCGACGTTGCATAAATGGATGACCAGCCGGAAATTACCAGCTAGAGGTCCAGAGAGGCCGAAGTCAAACGAAGCGTTCGACACAGAGAGAAGAGATACAGGCCAGCAACGGGACGCGTTCGACGAAGATATGCGAGGCTGAAGGTCAAGCGAAGCGCTCGACGTTGTATAAATGGATGACCAGCCGGAAATTACCAGCTAGAGGTCCAGAGAGGCTGAAGGTCAAGGGAAGCGCTCGACGTTGTATAAATGGATGATCAGAGGAAATTACCAGCTAGAGGTCCAGAGAGGCCGAAGTCAAACGAAGCGTTCGACACAGAGAGAAGAGAAGATTTCCATACCAGAGTCAAACGGGACGCGTTCGACGAAGAGATGCGAGGCTGGAGGTCAAGCGAAGCGCTCGACGTTGTGAATGGATGACCAGCCGGAAATTATCAGCTAGAGGTCCAGAGAGGCCGAAGTCAAACGAAGCGTTCGACACACAGAGAGAAGGGATGCGAGGCTGGAGGTCAAGCGAAGCGCTCGACGTTGTATTAATGGATGACCAGCCGGAAATTACCAGCTAGAGGTCCAGAGAGGCCGAAGTCAAACGAAGCGTTCGACACAGAGAGAAGAGAAGATATACAGGCCAGCAACGGGACGCGTTCGACGAAGAGATGCGAGGCTGGAGGTCAAGCGAAGCGCTCGACGTTGTATAAATGGATGATCAGCCGGAAATTATCAGCTAGAGATCCAGAGAGGCCGAAGTCAAACGAAGCGTTCGACACACAGAGAGAAGAGAAGATATACAGGCCAGCAACGGGACGCGTTCGACGAAGAGATGCGAGGCTGAAGGTCAAGCGAAGCGCTCGACGTTGTGAATGGATGACCAGCCGGAAATTACCAGCTAGAGGTCCAGAGAGGCCGAAGTCAAACGAAGCGTTCGACACAGAGAGAAGAGAAGATATACAGGCCAGCAACGGGACGCGTTCGACGAAGAGATGCGAGGCTGAAGGTCAAGCGAAGCGCTCGACGTTGTGAATGGATGACCAGCCGGAAATTACCAGCTAGAGGTCCAGAGAGGCCGAAGTCAAACGAAGCGTTTGACACACAGAGAAAAGGGATGCGAGGCTGGAGGTCAAGTGAAGCGCTCGACGTTGTATTAATGGATGACCAGCCGGAAATTACCAGCTAGAGGTCCAGAGAGGCCGAAGTCAAACGAAGCGTTCGACACAGAGACATGAAAAGAGATCCGCACTGATTCCGCAGCAGACCCATGATGTTTACGTAATATACTTCCTCAAGCTTCAGCCAACTGCCAAATCGTAGTGGTCCGTGCGCACCAGTCCCTGACTTCCATTTTCGTATCCCCTACTCCCATGTAACATGTTAGGAGGGTCTTATATGCCTCGTTTCCCTGTACATACTTTCTCTGCAATCCCGACCGCCGGTCCTAACAAATCATTAATCAATGAGCAGCATGTAGCGTAATTTTTAGTCTTCATTGTTTACTTCGAATATCTAGTCAGACAAGGTTGAGAACATAAGGAAAATGAGCGTGCAGAGCAGAAAATATGCATGAATTAATAGTACAGTTCGTCATCGTGGTAGCATCAGGAAAATCTCAGATGGGTTTTTTCACAACTTAAGTCAGAAAAAGAGCGCGATTCTCTGTTGTCAGAAGAAAACATCCCAAATACATAACTCATGCTTAGTGCTATTGTGTTCAATTGATGTGGAACACACAGGTGCAATAGTAAGCGTACATGTAACATATGTCAACGATCTCGTTAATTGATCGTTGCATCATCGAAATCAGGATTCACGTGCAGCAGAAAAAAACAAAAAAACATTCACTTTGCAGGTGAACTCAACTAGAACACGATGGATTTATTGATCTATGTATCTAACGTATCATTTGAACAGTACGGCCTGACCTCAAGGGAAGATTGCAGTGACGGCATTTTTCGACCTAGGACGAAAAATTACGTAAATTACATAGTCCCAGTGCCGCCGTCACAACCAACAATTTTGCCACAGAGTTTGTAAAGAGAAGAAAATGTGTGAAATGAAGGCTCGGCTGGCGGGAAGATGTCGGTGTTGCTAAACCATCACTAACATCACGAGTTCGCACAACAGGGGTGATTTCACAAGACGTCTATAGCAATATACCCCGGGCAGATGCCGTTTATTGGTAACATTATTGCTCTATAGAGCTTATATTGATGGTTAATAGCTTGATATTCTCGTACTTTGACGAGGAGTGTAATACCTTGAGTAGCTACGAAGTGTCGAAGCTACACATTTGCCATTCGTACACACCAGTGGCATTGATTCCCGACTTCCAGGGTTCTGTAGCAAGGATAAGCCTAATTCTCTACCAAATCGATTGCGGGAACTTCTTATGTCAGCGATTACTTCAGCATCGCGGTGATCTTCGCCTTCGTCTTCTTCCCACTGTGATTCTCACTAGCTCCTCGGTGTGTTCCTTCATTGTTAGAAATACCTCGCTCACTTGTTGTATAAAAGCATGTTCCTGGTGAAGGCGCCTTTGTGTGTTCTTTGCGTGTTGGATGAGGGGCTTTGCACGCATCAACAGCCCTGCCCGCCAATGCTTTGCATCCGGCCGAGAGACTCGCCTTTCTGGCGAAGTTTCGGGGGAGGCGAAAACAACAGGTTCTCTATGGTGCTTGCCACAAACGCCTTGATTCAGAATATACCAGATTCTTCACAATTTTCTGTGCCTCGCCTGAATCATTCCGACATAGGCAGTGAGTGGTTTGTTCCATGTCTCGTCACATGTGCACTAATGGTCCGTCGTACTCAGATGGAGATACCATATAAAGTCCCTGTAGGTCATACTGTTGCATGACCTTGAGACTATGCTGATGTGAACATGTCAGCCAAGGCTAGGGCGACCGCCATGGCTGGAGGATCTCCACGTGGAGGAGGTAATTCCTCGTCGACGAACAATGGTACGTCTAGACTTGTAGAAGCCGAGA